CAGTTTAAATTTGTGCTGTCAATGACATGGGTATAACTTTCCCATGTTAACAGAACAGTTCTAACTGTATGAAAATAACAGACAATGGTCAGGAAGCTGCACCTGCTGGATCAAAGTTGTACATCATACTCCTTTGCACTCTGAGATTTTAAAGTCTTAAGGTGTGAAGGTCTAGCATTATCTTGCTCAGCACTGCTGTAACTGCACTAGGAGGTGGGGAAAGAGAGCCAGAGTGTACTGGAAAGAAAAATGGTGATAAAATGTCTTGCTGTGGCCCCAACAGGCTGTATGCAGTAAGGAGGGAGGTAGCGCGGCCCTGCAGAGGGGAGGGGACATGACCAGCCCTATGGGGACAGGGGGCTTGGCCCAACCCCATGGAAGCGGGGAGAAGCAGGCGTGAGCTGGCCCTGAATCAGAGGTCCAGGGGATGGGGCATGGTCCAGCCCTAGTTGAGAAGGGGGCACGGCTCAGCCCTAACCTGGCTGCACAGAGGGAAGAAGGCCTGGCCTGGATCTGGCCATGCAGGGGCAGGGTTGTGACCTGGCTCTGACCTGCCCTGTGGGACTTGGGATTTTGGCAGCAGGGAGGGGTAGCAGTACTGCTACTGCTCCCCAGCCACAAGATTTCCTGATCAATGGGGAGCCCTGTGAGCCACATTCCAAGGCCCCACAAGCCACATTTGGCCTGCAAACTGTGAGGTTGAGCACCTCTGCTTTACAATATCATTTTTTTTAAAGCACTGTGCTTCCCTTCTTAAAAAAAAGAGCAAAGAGAGGACGAGTCATACTTAACAGCTGTTAGTCACATTGCTTGATGCAGTACTGGAAGGCACTCAGATACTACTGAAGAAGCCAGAAGAACCTGTGTAGAATAGAATTATGTGAAAACATTTTTTGGGGAATAGCAGAAGTTAGAAGAAATTCTGAAGCATGGCAGTTGTGTCAACACTGAACTTCTTTTGGCACCAAGATGAACAAGGCTAAGAGAACAGTGCAAAGGAACAAGTTTTAGGATGATTAATTAAAACAACAGTTTAGATGCATCAAGTGTTAGGAAGAGTATGAGGGAGGAAGCTGAAGGAAAGGAAGAGAAAAAAAATCTCCCAAATAAATGCTAAAAAAAAATACAAAGGGCAACACAGTGGAAAATTCCATTTTTGCTACTCTCCAATGGAATTTATCAGTCATTTTAGCTAGTTTACCAGATCAAGATTGAGATGGTCAGTGATTTATGATTTGTACTTACATTTTACCAGCACAACCATTAACCCTTATTTAAAATCAAGGGTGTCAAACATACAGCCTGCAGGCTGGCTCCAACATGCTGCAATTGGCAGACAACCAGAAGATGGGGAGCCTGGCCAAAGGAGAATGGCTTGCTGCACAATGCAGGGCCCTCATGGACATGATGATCAGCAGCAGGAGGGTGAACAAAGACCGATAGAGTCCTGGTTGTTTGGCTGTTTCATCTTCCACCACCACTGCAACCTTATCTCATCAGCTGAAAGCCCCACTTCTGCCCCATGCTGGAGTTGGAGCAGCTATCGCTGCTATTTGCCCCATGTCCTGTACTGCACAGGCTGCTCCAGCTCTGGAATGGGGCATATGGTGGCAGCCAGGGTTACTGCTGCTGTTGCATGCCCCATGTTGTAGGTGAAGCTGCTGCCATTACCACCACCACTTCTCCAGGGCTGGAGCTTGTATGCTTCAGGCTGGATTTGGCCTAGGGCATAAAGTGAGTTTGATTCCTCTGCTTTAAATCAAAGTTATGCCAGTTATGCATTTGTACATATTTTCCCTGATCATGTCTACACTTAAGGTGGTAGGGATATACCAGCAAATATCCCAGTGGAGATGACCTTATATCAGTAATAGAGGGATTTTGGGGGTGAGTGGGTAGGAGGACCACTTATATCAGTTCCCAGAAGTGAATAACAGGTGCTAACAAAGGCTCTTTTATTGGTATAACTGCATGGACTTGAGGTTTTCTGCCAGCATAGATAGCCATGTCAGGGGTAACTTGGTTAGCGCATTTTTTTTTACGCTTCTAATAGACATAGCAGGCCAGCAAAACTTTAAAGTGTAGACCAGATCCCAAGCTGTTGTAAACTGTGTATTGGTATAAGTGTGCTTACATCATACCTGCATCCACACTGAGGCTTGCCGGTTTAGCAACACCAGCAAAAATCTCTTCAGTATAGAAAAGCCCCAAAACAGAATATTCAGATCCTTTTTTGCTGCCTTTCAATTACCTCCCACATCCCTCTTAAGACTATTTTTCTTAAGCTAATCTATTGCTAGTGATAGCAGCAGTATCATTTTAGCACTTTAAAAAGTGACTGGATGCTGACCAGAGTTTCTAACTGGTGCTTTAAAAATCACAGGGTAAGAAGATAGTCTCAGGTGGTTTACCACCTAATTAGGACGAGACCTAACAAATTATCAGAACAGTAAGATGGCAGAAAAGAAGGGACAAAATATTTAATAAGAACATGAGTCTCTACAAGCTAGTTGGCTTTGAGTTGATTGATTTTGCACATCAGACGTTCTCACTACATATCCATTGGTCTATACTGGGCAATTTACACACCTAACTGTTCTGGTATAACCATATAATTATACTGGCATGACCCCCACTGTGGACAGTTATTCTGAAATAAGAGTGTCTTTACCAGTTTAACTTGCCTGTATAGGAGAAGTTGATTAGATCAGTAAATTCCCTTGTGTACACAAGGCATGGACTATAACCAGTCTGCCATTTACTGTAGGCACCTCAGAAGAAGGGAATCTTTAGGAGAGAACAGAGGGTCAAAGGAGTGGCTTACCAGATTGGTCCTTTCCACTTCTTTACGCCATAATTTGTCCTCAGCATTTAAGAAAAGCCATTCTTTCAATATTCAACCATATCCACTTCACACATTAGAATAGCAAAGATCAAACAACAGCCTTTGCCATATCCCCTACTTATTAGTTAGATTTATATGCTATCCTTTCCATCAAAGGCTCAGGCCTGCTTTCAGAGAAGAGCAAAATAAGTTATGAAACAAGCAAACAAGAGAACAAAACAAAGCAGGAGAAACAAAGTAATTTATAAGGCCAAGATTGTAAAAATAAACAGTATAGCACCCCTTTCCTCCTCCCAAAGACTGGCGTTTAATGTAAGCAATTTGGGACTGGGACTGACATAGACACTTATAAACTAGTTTGCCAAAACAAACAAAACCAGAAATGAAGTTGACCAAGCTGAGTGGAAGAAAAATCTAGCCTGATGCAATAGGAAATACAGCTGCTTTAGTAAGGGTTATTAGACTGCCCAGGTCAGTCACATGAAAATACTTCAATGCAACAAACACCAGTAACACAGGATGTGCCTCACCCTTTTCCCAGAATCTTGCACAATTGCCATCCCTGCTTGGTTTCAGGCCAGACTCTTAAAGCAGGGCTTGTCTAAGTGACAGTTGTGCCAGATTAAGAGGATCTAGTTAACCCAGTGCAAATTGCTAAAAGAGTTCAAGTTTGGTTTAAACTGGTTTTGCATATGCTGGTAAATCACCAAAATAAGCTACATCAGTACAAGCAAGGTCCATTTCTACATTTACGCTGGAGTTTGCCCTGGATGTAGTTAAATCAGCCAGGTGGAATTAAACCTGTGTGACTTCTGACACAGACTAGATCAAAAAGTTCCCAAAGGTTCAGAATGAGGTTAGTACTTAAAATGCACCAGGATACACAATATGACTGCAGAAGAAAACTTCAACTAAACATCAAGACCTATTAGCTTGTGGTTTAGGGCTGCTTGAAGTTCCATGAACTATATTTTGAGGATCACAAGGTTTGCTGCTTGTGGAAGCTGTGCATGTGGCACATGAGGGCTTCTTACATTCCTTTAGTCCTTGCATGTCCCTCCTCTCTTTCAAGGATTAACCATAAACCCCTACTCCCTTTCTGTGCCAATAGTTCTGGCTACTCCCATTCTTCTTTCTTTACCTCCACCAACCACTTTGTAAATCATTGTGTCAATATTTTAAAAGTATTGAGAAAGCAGGACCTAGTTATATAGGGCTGAGCATTTTGTTCCTGCCAAAAGGAGAGTTGTTTTTGCAGTCTATTTAGTCATCTATAGATTGCATGTTTAATACATATTATTTGTTCAGGAGGAATTTCTAAAACGTTTTTGAGCTTTCCTGGTAGAAGCACATCCTGTAGAAGTAAGGTCACTTCAGAGATTATTATATTTTCTTGAGCAGTTTCATTTGAATTCAGCAGTAGTGGATCTCTGGATAGGAAATCTGCCCAGTCATGTACAGTTTAAATAAGGACAAGAGTATGCCTAGACATTTTGTAGCTTTGCTTTCCATGGAAGTCTGTTGAATTGCCTGTAAACTATTTGAGGTTTATTTCTCAAGGAGCATGCAGTTACATGAAGAGGTTTTTTTTCCTTCACAAAACTCTGATTCAATTAAAAAAACCCCACAAAGATTATTTTTCAGATGTCAAACTACTTGACTCATAGTTGTTTAAGCCAGGGGCTCTCTGACTCTCATGCTTAGTCATTGAAGGCCTGATGCAGAGCTTAAGTCAACTAGAGTCTTTCCATTCATTTCATTAAGGTACGAATCTGGCCCTGCACATGTGAAGCTTTATTTTAAATTGCTCTCCAGAATTCAGTAACTTTCTAGGTACTTTTATGTAAGGTCTGTTGTATGTAAAAATGTACATAAAATTATTCATGTAATAAATAACTTTATTTTAGGCAAGATTTTGAAGAGTTCGATAATAGATGGATATTAAAATGCACAATTAAACTAATAGAACCAAGTCCTGGTTGGGGATTCAGGGGCAGGGGGGGACCTTTAAGCTTTTGATTAAAGCGTTTAAGGTCTCAGTCTTATATTTAAGAATGAGGATTTTAGATAAAAGTCTACCATTAGAATTGTAATTTTTTTTTGTTCTCAAAGATAAAAAAAGGCAATTGTTAATAAAAAAAATGCTTTATTTCAGGCCGACGTGTGCCACGCTTACCAGATTGTGCGCAGAAATGGAATTCCAGATGAACAGATTATTGTCATGATGTATGATGACATTGCAGAAAGTGAAGAGTAAGTGATATATGTGGTAAACCATGGTGTTAAAATCTATGTTGTTTACTCTGTTTCGTAATCATCAACAGTGATCCTAGTTTTCCCTGATAAAAAATACGGCAAATTCTCTGATAAAGCCCCCCAAATCCATGATTAAAACAAAAGACCACTATCTACACACACGTATATACATATGTGTGTGTGTATCTGTTGATCACAATGCTTTATTGATATATTTACAGTTTTAAAGCAATTTGGAAGCCTACCAGTGCCTCAATCACTATAATAAAATAAATTCTAAATACCTATAAATTGTGGTATTTGATTTGGGGTTTTTTAATCATGGAAAATCAGAGCTCCCCCTGCCCCCGTAGCTTACAGATATAGGTCCAGGCCCCTCACTCCCAAGCCACAACCGGACCCAGGTCCACAGCCCCTGCCCCCCACAGCACGGCCTGAGCCCTAGCTGCCACCTGTGGGAGGTGGCGGTAGCGACAGTGAAGCAGTGTGTGGAGCCTGGTTCCCCCTTCCTTGTGGAGCCAGCTCTTTGCCAGTGTGTGCACTTCTGGGGGCAGTGAGGCCCTATGCCCTGAGATCTGTGGGCAGGGGTGAGCTGCCCTCTGTGGGCTTGGGCTCCCCGCCCTGCTGCCCTCCCCACAGGGCCTCTGTGGTCCAGCAGGTGGGACATGGCGTTGCAAGGCAGAGTGGAACTGGGCTGGGAAGTTCCTTGCTGCTATGAGCCCTGTGTCACCATGTGCACGGTCATCGTGCCCCCTGCCTAACAGCCCTCATCCCACTCCCCCCAGCCCCTTGCAGGCTGGAACTCTGTCAGCCTGCAGAGAGCTTTTTTGCAAAAGGGCAAAATCTGTGTGTTCCTCTGTTAAAATAAGAAATCCACATTTTCTTCGGGTAAAGAGGGAAATCCATGTTTTTCCATGGAAAACAGAAAAGCCGGATCCCTGATCATCAATAATCTCTGTGTATGTAGAATCTCAACAGGAGGAACCCCCAAGAACTTTTTAGAATATAGCAACCATTTTATCCATCACTGAAATGATGTCACTTTGAGACATGGCTTCCTAAACTTCCAGGTTAATGTTCTGTTAACTATGGCACCATAAATCCAGAACTCCTTGGTAACTTTTGCATATCGTGGCATAAATAAGCACTCTTCATTTTTGTTATGCTTAACACCCTCTTATATAGCACATATAACATAAACATATTGTTATGGTACGGCCTCCCCAGGGATGGCTATGATGTACGTAGGGCCCGGTGACCTTGCCAGCTCCGCCCTATGAGCACCTACTAATCTCGCCTGTCATCTCTTGCTGGTTTAAATGATGAATTGGGAGGCTGCCCTCAAGTTGCTGCTCAGGCACAGTCCTGACAGGCTCCTCTGACCCCGTACTGGGTCCCACACTCAGGAGGTGCCTTAGGATACCCCCATGCATTAGGTGCCTTGCAGCCCAGGGTACCTGATGAGCTCCTGGAGCACCAGGAGTCCTGTAAGCAGCATATCAGGTGGCCATAGTATCACTGGCCAGTTCTTCTCTGCAGGAGCTCCTTCCCCTGGCAGCTGCCAGAGAATTAACTCCTGCTAGTCTCAGCCCTGGGGCTTATATGTGCCCAGGGCCCTGACTCCTGGTCACCTGACTGGGTGCAGGTGCAGGCTAATTTCCTCATTAGCTTGCTGCCACAGCAACCTGCACCTGTGGGGGTTCTGCCTGGCTCCTAGGGCCCTCTCTCTAGGCAGTTTCTACACTTAAAGGAGCAGGCACACCTTAGTGCCCTGAGACCCATCCTAGGAGTGTGACTGTTTTTCAGTTCAGTATGCTGTATGTATGTATTTAAAACACAGCCCGTTTAATTCCCCAAACAAACTTTTCATAGATTCAAATTCCCATGCATCATCCCTGGGGGGATGTGTGTATGCTCTTGTATGTTTGGCCACAGAGCTGCATGTAGTTTCATAGCCCTTTAGTCTAAACTGACTGCAGCCCTCAGCTTTGTTCCCAGAAAATGTCTTTGCACATTGATAGCCACCCCACAGTCAGCTGTCGTAGCTGATTAGCCAAACCAATGGTGACAGTTGACAGCTGACTGTTGCCAGTTAATATTTTGCTATCAATGACTGCAGGATATCATGTGCACAGCAAATGTATCAGCTGAAGTGCAGAAGAGAATACAGCTGCTAATGGCAGAAACAAATAGGGGTGAAAACATAAGGGTTTTTTGCTACACCCTAAAAATAACTTAACTGATCTGGCCATGTGGCTCAGGATACTATAGCTGAGTATATGTAACTGACTGAGGCACAAAGGTCTCCACATGATTACAAGATCATTTACTAAGAGTTGATGCATTTCAATATAAATACATGTAAATATTTGGGCTTAGTCAGTCTGATATGTCTTTTTTAATGCTTTTCTAGTTAATGTGCTGGCATTTTGTGATGTGAGCAATTCTCAATCTTTATATCCAATTTAACTTTCAGAAATCCAACCAAAGGCATTGTTATCAATAGACCCAATGGCACAGATGTGTACAAGGGAGTGCTAAAGGACTACACAAAAGAGGTAGGATTGAAGTAGCTTCTATCACTCCCTATTGTATATCACTCACTGCTCGAGGTAAACTTTTCACTCCCAGACTGTTTGACATTCCTTAGTTCACAGAGGATTAAGGCTCTTGTTGATACTTTGGAGTACTCCAACATATTTACCTGAACAGCTTTCCTGGCCAGTGCTAAGATGGTGAATAAGGATGATTTGAAATGGAACGGATCTTTGATAATAGGCTTTTACATTAGTTTTGTACTGCATCCAGAGTAAAGTAAAGGGAAATCTTGCATCTAAAACAGGTTTAACTACATGATTAAGTACATGAAAGTATTGAATATGTACTGATTCATTTGCAGGTTCAGTTTATGAAATAATCACTTGGTGATTTTATAGATTAGCATCCATTTGCATAGGCAAAAGTTTCCAATAAATTGAAGGTAGCCTGAAAGGTCTAGGTATGTAGCCAGAAAGATAACTGTAAAAGAACACTTAATCAGTTCAGGCACTCATCTCAGTTTTTGTTTTCTAAAATAACCATTGGAACTAATCAGTGACATTTCAACAAAGGCATTCCTAAGTTAGTTAAAATAGTTACGCTATTTCACGGAAGCTGGGAGCAGTTGTTGCATTTATCCTTGCACAAGTCCCTAAACAAAAATATCCCAGGATTAGCATGTACACACATTGCCTTGTTAATCAGGGTTTGGTGAGTGACTGAATGTACTGCTGCTTTTCATTCACTGATTCAATGATGCAATCCCTGGATAACTGTTCAGGCACACTTTGTGGTGTTGTGGAATAATGTGTGATTCTTATTCCATGAAGTTTTTCTAGGATTTATCCCAGGACAATGGACATGGACACCTGAATGATTGCATTTGGGCTTTGTACTTGTATAACTGGAAATCAGAAGGAGTATCCCCTTGCCGTCACAGAAATTTAGAAATAAATGATATCATGAAACCTGTCTTAAGGGACTGAAAAATATCTATCTCTTCACCAAAAAGGAGCAAATGTGCTTCATACAGTCTATGATACGTTTAGGTATATTGCCTACTAACACTGTCCAGTAGTAAAGGTTTCTCTGTATTTCACATGTGCATTGACTACAGCATTTTCCCACACTTGCTGCTCTGTTTTCCAGGAGCAGATGTGATTTCACATTACAGTGAGGGGCCATAGGATGTAAGGGTTCATTTATATTGGGAAGTTTAACTGGTATAAGTGAAGATATGCATTTCAAACCATAAATGCACCTAATAAATGACCCTTGGGGTCCCTTCTAACTTGTGATTTTATAACCAGTATAATTTCTTGCCTGGTTGCTTGTTTTGGTGTAAGAATGCTTCTGGAAATGTTTAAGGGCGTGGGCACATAAAAAAGATAATGCAATGGAAGTGGTGGATGGGAATTTCATTATTCAGTACCTGTTCGACAGTAAGACCCCTGGCACATGTTACACTTAAGACGTGATTAACCAGTGCATCATGTCCTAAGTAGTAAGCTGGCCTTACCGTCATACAGTTAAACAACTGTTCACCAGAGCGCCCTAGAAACTAGAAACAACATCCACAGACTCCTGGAAGATAGTGTCAGGCTGAACATTAGGAAAAACTTCTTCACAACTAGGGTGTCCAGACTATGGAACAAGCTCCCCGCCAGAGGTGGTGCAGTCACCTATCCTAGAGGACTTCAACAGAATACTGGATTGTCACCTGACCTCAGATGTCTTTTCTACTCATGCAGAGGGCTGGACCTGATGATCCTTCGGGGTCCCTTCCAGCCCTATGATTCTATGATAATGGTGTGATAAAACAGGGAATAAGCCACAACACTTTGTAGCTGGTTCCTATCACTTCTTACATTGAACATGTGGCCAACACTGATCAGCTGATTGGTGCTCCTGGCCTTGAGAGTGCACCAGAGTGAAGTGCTCCAATTTGCTCCCAATGGCTGGGAGTGCTGATCAGCTGACTGGTATTACAGGTCACTAGAGCACACAGGGCACCCGGCATGCCTCTTGCCAGTATAGGGGCTGTCCCTGCACTGGCAAAAGGACATGATTAAGATCTGATCTGCAGGTCCAACAATCGTGCTTCCTGGCACACGTTTAGCATGGCAGGAAGCCTGATTGTTGGGATCATGGGTCAGATCCCAACGTGCCTTTAACTGAATGTCTGTCAGAAACTTAACTGCCTGCATGCATGTGTTTTCCCTGCCGGAAGTGAAACCTACCATGCTGTAGCTTACCCCTCAGGCATTCCTCTGCATTAAAACACATGTGAATTCTCTTTCACAGACGCCTTCTTTCTAGATGACTACATGCAGTTTAATGCTATAGTATATTTCAGTAATTTATACGAAAACTCTCTTGATCTATAGGATGTTACTCCAAAACATTTCCTTGCTGTTCTGAGAGGTGATGCTGAAGCAGTGAAGGGCAAAGGATCAGAAAGAGTATTAAAAAGGTAACAGATAAGATGGGTTATGGATGGACACTTCTGCTGCCATTCAGCAAAGCTGGACTTCCAGTGCAGTCTAAGTCTAAGCATTTTTCCCATATAATATATCCAAAGGGGTGGTCAGTGACAGTTCCAAATCATTTGATTTAGAGATGTGACAGTTCTTTTTTGGCAATCTAGCACCAAATAGTGGCTCTTTATATCTGACTAATACCAAATACTGTATGGATTTTGATACAAGTGTCCATTGTGGAAGGCAGTTTTGCCATTAGGGACACAGTGGTGAAGAGAAAGGGGAACTCTGGCACTAGTGTTTGGTGGAAGAGAAAATAAGTTGGGTCAGGTTTAAATTGGCCATTTGTAGTCATTTGGAAGGTCACCCTGCATAGCTGAAGTGTAAAATGATCCACATATAAATACAAGTGGTACAAAGTGCTTTGCACTTATTTTAAACAAGCACATCACCAAATTGCTTCTTTCTGTTAGCAAACAAAAATGCAGGTACATACACATGTACTTATACTTGCTCATTTCCCAGTCTGCCCTTTTACCCTGCAGCCAAGGGTACGGGAGTACTTGGTATTGGTAATCCCAAGATTCACTGCTACTTCGCAAAACTACTTGGGTCCAGAACTACACAGGACATAGGTGCTTAAAGTGAGGCTTAGATGGAATTTAGGCACCAAAATAAAAGAACAGGTTGATCTGTGGTATTGTTGCCTAACCCTCTCTTGAAAGGCCATTGACAAATATGTACATAGTAGTAAAGTTACTTAGGTTGACAGAGTGCTGCTACTGCGCAGATGCATACTTGCTACCACCTGGGCCATGTTGAGCATCTTGGCGCACATCTCTTGCCTAAGCCCGATCAGGATTCATCACCTAGGTGCCCCTTTACCTGAGTCTTCTGAGGTGCCTCATCCAGTAGGCACATGCAGACTGTACCCTGTACAGACTGACAACATGGAGTAAAATACAGAACACAGAGCTGGAGGAGGAGGAGATGGGAGTGATAAGATTTTGTATAACAGCTCAGTGATTAGAGCACTCTCCAGGAAGTGTGGAACCTTGATGCTAAACCCTTCTTACCCTGAGAGGGTGGAAACCCACATCTAACTTCTAGAAGAGTGCCCTAATCACTAGACTATCAGCTATTCTGGGGGGGACCCCTCACTTCTCTGAATAGAACAGTGCCACTGTGTAGAGTCATGGAACCAGAGAACAAGAAAGAGCATATTTTTGTAGCCCTGTAATGTGTTCTGCATGAAACAGCTATTGAATAAAATGCATAAAACAAAGTCCCTTTGTGGATTAGCCCTTAGTGCTTAACTGTACTTGCCATCATGGAGACTTGCTAAGTTGCCATTTGGACTGGAGCATTATGAACTTCTGCAAGCTGCACAAGTCCTTTCTAGTACCCAACACTCAAAAGACTTTCAGAACCAAGCTAAGTACAAATCTAGCATAATGGCTAAATTCACATGCAGATCAGTTCTCAATGGAGTAATAGTCTGATCCGAGTTGGGCTAGTTATGGCCACACATATCAACTTAGTCTTTATATAAGTATGTATACGCTAAGAGGCATAAAAGTGGAGATGAATCTTTAGAATTTACCTGTTGCTGTCATTGCTCTATCAGTTATAACTGAGTTAACAAGGACCTCTCAAACCAGACTCTGCTGCTGGCTTATGGTATAGTTTCATAGAATGGTATACCAGATGCATCAGAGGATGAAGGAAAAATATCATTAATGCATCTACTTAAAGTGCTGTAAAACATACACTAACTACTAAATATAAAACCTGAAACCTGGTATAAAGCTACTTGTCTTAACATGTTTATTACTCAGGACAGTTGTCTCCCTATTTGCATTCTATGCTGATTCTTTCTTTGTTATAAATTGGTAGTATATTTGAGACAAGATTATCTTATGCATGAAACCATATTCAGTCAGGTTTATCATCAATTACTGGAATGTCTCAGTTCTGCGATAGGTGTTTGTTTATGCAAAAAAACCCTAAAAAGGAAATAGCAGAAAGCCAATTATTTCTGATTTTCTATTGACAGTGGTCCTAAGGATCATGTGTTTGTTTATTTCACTGACCATGGAGCACCTGGGCTGCTGGCTTTTCCTAGTGATGATGTGAGCATTTATTTGAACATTTTTTAAGTTATTACAAAAAAGTATATATTTTTGCTTATCTGAGTTTCTTGACACGTGTTTCTTGGAAAAAATATAAAAGGTCATATTCTGATTGTCTGATTTACATTGGTGTATGAAACTTAGCATTTGGTGTTTGAGCGCTGTGGTCCAAACAAATTACTTAATTGGTGTGTATGTGATTCCATGGCTTAGATATTTAGTGCATCATCTGAATTTTTGAGGATTATTTATTTCACCCTTCTGTTTCCCAGAGAGACAAAGCATTAGATAAAAATGGGTAACTTTTAGCCTTAAATTTGGAATCGATTACCACAACTTAAAGTAGACCCTTTATTGTAGGGTCTTGTATTCTTGTAGACTCTACACTGAAAACAACAATAATGCCATGTAGATAGAAGTAGTAACATTTATTCATATTAAAAAAGCCATTGGTTATTACAATAAAATGAGTTCTTCTGTTTATTTTGCCAGAGACATTATTAATACACTTGTACTTATTTTTCAGCTCCATGTAAAGGACTTGAATAAAACCATTCATTACATGTATCGTCACAAGAAATACCAAAAGGTAAAGAAGTTTTATCGGAAGTTGTGAGCTTAATAGGGCAACTAAGGCAGAGGAAGTATGTTTGTGCTCCCTTTAGCTGCACTTCCAATAATTGTTTAAACCAGCTTTTTCCAAAAGTGTGAGACATACCTCCTGGGAGGTGCATGGAAGGGGGTTGGTGGGTGCGCGTGAATCACAGCTGATGATTGCCACTAATTACCAGTCAATGGTGAGTTGTAAACCCACAAAAGTTAGTTTAAACACTAAAGTCATAGTAGTTAGAGAAGAATGTGATAGCAAGCCATGAAAGTTTTGGATCAGCATTTAGACATTAGTGCAGTCCTCTGACACCAATATAATTTGATCTCCTCTGAGGGAAAACAGCCTAGACTACTAGCTCACCTCCAGTACAGCCCACCTTCCTGTGCTTTGTTCACTTCATGCTGTGTGCTTTATTACAGGAAGCTTGTGGTTTTTGAGCAATTATAGCAATAAAATATAAAAACAGTTTAGCTGAGGTCACAAGGTCACTAAAGTACCTTATATACCCATTTCAGCACAAAGGTATTTTAAGTATAGAAATCTAATCCAAAAAATATGTTTGCTTTAAAAAAATAAAAAACTCCTAACATATTACTGATTACTTCAGAGAGCTGTAGCTGGTTGCATGCAGAAATGTGTAAGTGGTGACCTATCACAAAAATATTAAGGCTATAAACAGTTCAAATGGATGCATTTTTTGGACATAAAAAGACTAACCAGCCACTTGACTTTACAAACAGATACCTGTAAAATCTTTGCAGGACGGTTAGAAGCCTAAGCAGTGCCATTTCTCCCCACATACACTTCCTGTGGTTTTTCAAAGCAGAAGAGGAATTTTATTTACTCTTTTGTAGACCTATATATATAGGTTCAGCAGGTTATCAGTAAGGACAGAGTAATTACAGCTTAAAAACAACTGAAGCTCTTTTCTGCCTTTCCAAGTGTTTTTTCCAAAAATGTCTGACTTATTCTGTAGATGGTGTTTTATATTGAAGCATGTGAATCTGGATCAATGATGAACCATTTGTCTGATGATATCAATGGTAAGCAATCAGTATTATTTTTTTCAATATGGCCGGGACTGCCAGTTATAAATGTGCTATGTCACAAATGGACTGGAAGACTGAAAGATACTGTCAGTCAGTAATTTACTGAGACTTGAGTTGGCCAAGTAGCCAATGTATGGCAAATTTCATTTTTTGGACATTTGGTTTTGGCCCTAATCAGATGTAAATAAAAAGTTTAGAGAGGTTTCCAGCAAATCACAAACTGCTAATAAAAACAGCAGCTTCAACAAGCAGTTCTTGGCTTCTGGGATCTGTGGCTCTGAGTGGACATAGGACACTGACCCTAAGCCATGGACAGTGTGGATCCATCCTAGCTCAATAGCTTGAAGACTGCAACTCCTGAGCCCTAACCCTAGTCAGGGCTCTCAGGCTCCCTGGCAGAGAGCAGGCAACTGGTTAGACCCAAGATTTCTGAGGCTTTTAGACTCCATGGGAAAGAGCTTGAACATTCCGGCCTGCATCTTGACTGTTGAGCTGTAAATCTGAAACAGAGTCCATGGCTCAAGGGTAAATTTGCTTAGTGGACTGCTGTAAAATGACTAAATACTGTATTTACTCAATTCCAAAATGATTTCTTCCTTCCCCACCTCCCATTCAATATGGGGAGAGGGCTTGTCTTGGATTTGAGTACAAGCCTGGGGAGGGGGATAGGCAGCTGCTGTAGCTCCAGGTAGCAGTGGTTGCAGCAGCAGCAGCTCTGACCACAGCCCACCATCACTGCTGCATGGCCAAACAAGAGGTAGAGCAGGGATTGGCAACCTTTTTGGGCAAAGTACCAAAAACACCTGCAAACTCGACTTGCAAGATGTTGGTGTGCCAGGGGTAGAGAGCAGGGAAGCCATGAGGGGCCCAATCCTTGTTGTGGCAGCACAATCCCAGCTCCTTCCCCACTGTCCACCCCAAGGTGCATGTGCCAAGCAAAATGCATGTGCCACGCTCTGGCATGCATGCTGGGGGTTGCCTCCTCCTGAGCTAAGGTGACCATGTGCTCCATTCCCTGGGTTGGAGTGAGGCCAGGGCCAGAGCTGGAGCCATGATATAGGGTAAGTGGTAGTGGGAAGCAGCAGGGCAACAGCTGAGGTTCTGATCCCAAGCTTTGAGTGGGGCCAGAGTAGGAGCGATAGCAGCCTCTTGCGCCATGCTCCCCACCACTCCTTGATTGTACTTGAATCCAAACGTTTACTTGGATTTAAATAAATATGGTATTAAGCTATTCCTAAAATAGGGGATATTTGCCTACCCATCAGTGGTGAGCTGCAAGTTTTAACTGATTCCTGGCTAAGCCTTAAGAAGATACCATGAAAATGTTTTCAAAACACTAAATATTAAGAAAGCGATATTTAAGACTAGTTTTCTTCTTTTCCCCAGATTCTGAGCCTTTTCTACCTGAAAAATTACTTGTGTACATAAAGAAATTATTTTGGCCTTATTGAAAGCACAATACTACACTCAGACTGCCTTCCTGAAACTCAACCATTTCTGCAAACATGCAAAATACTGCATTTTACTACTTGAGCCACTGAAATCTGTGGGTACCTGTATTTTTAAGAGCTCCGTTAGACTCCTTATCTCAATTGTAGCTGCAAAACGCTTTGTTTCTTTACTCCACAGTGTTACAAAGGACTTGACAGAGAACACTGTGTTATAGAATGGGAATGTTGCTCAAGATTTTAAATGTAGTGTGTTATCTGAATAATCAGTATTGATTACATACAGTTGGTAATGAGGAATTTCAGGGACCTTTAGTATCATCCCATATCAGAAGATGAATTTAAACCAATTGTTAACATGCTTTTGAATTACTTTGTTTCTTTTTTTTCTCTGAACAGAGTATTTATCAGGCTCATTGTTTCAATTCATATTGTAATGCTCAGTCATGCAGATCAGTACCAAATTAATGGGGAGATGTAAATGAAGTCTGCTATTCCATTTGTCTTACAGTTTATGCAACTACTGCTGCCAATCCTAAGGAGTCTTCATATGCATGCTATTATGATGATGAAAGACAAACTTACTTAGGGGACTGGTACAGTGTCAACTGGATGGAAGATTCTGATGAAGTGAGTTATTTAGATCAGACATTTGGTGCTTCCGTTAATGTTTTTTTTTTATCCTTTAGCTTTTGCACAAGAGTAAAGATTATTTATCTCATAGGTAGTAATGTGGAATGGGGTGGCTGATGAAAACTTTTCATGACTAGTTTAGTTTTTGTAAGGTTTACATATTTGGGTGATTAGTGTAGTTCAGAAACTTATTCTTCTTTTTTGAGGTGAAGGTTAGAAGCAGTCTAGCCACCAGACTTGAATTCACTTAACCTGAATATAACAATTTGATACCATATTGATTGCAAGGATGTTTTTAAACAAGTTGCCAAGTGCAAGGTTTCCTAGTGATCCTTAAATAAGAAACAAAGGCCACTGCTATTCACTACTGTTGTTTTGAACCAAAGATTCAGCAGTCATGAAACACTTCAGGGATTCTTATTCTAGCTCATCTGTGCCCATTTTGCTGAAAGATCACTAATAAAGCAGATTAATAAGATGCTGCAGACTCCTGACATCAGTGCAGAGTCCCTAACTTTACATCTAATCTCCTGTGAAGTGTTACAGATATTCATCTTATTCTCACCCTCTGGGAGCTCGCAATGCCCTTCTATGTCTTCCTTGCAGTTTTAGGACAGCTGAATTGAAGTATCTATGATAACATGACCTTCTTCATTGCAGGAGGATCTGAGAAAAGAAACGCTTCATAAGCAGTTTCAGTTAGTGAAGAAACGTACCAACACCAGCCATGTGATGCAATATGGAAACAAAGTGAGTATTCATTTAAGAGGAGTTGAGAGTCGAATATGATTTAGGTATTGTGTTTCTCCCCACATACTTCCATCCCTTTAAAATTGCTGGTGTATGAGGATTGAGATCCTGAGGTTCTAAATACATTTCACAAGCAAGCCCACTCAGAGCTGGGGAATCACAACTCCCTATCTGTATACAAGTCTTTCTTTCACTGCATTCATTCTTTGGCTTGAAGAGAAACTCCCAATTTCTCTTCCTCCACTCTCATACCCTTCCTTCTACTCCACTTCCTAATTCCCCATGCAAGGGCTAGTAGCCATTTGCTATTCTGCAGCCCCTTCAGCTTGTACATGCATCTTGAGCACAGAGTGCCATTCCAGCATTCAGTCCACTCTGTTGTTCTTTGCTGTTGCTTTGAGGCCTAGATGAGAAAGTAGGTTAAAACAACAAGGCAGGTAGGGTAGAATAGTAGTTACAGTAGACCTGACACAGGGCTTTTCCACTAGAGCAGGGGGTCAAAGATACAGCCCACAGAGCCCTATCATCTGGGCCATGATGCTACCTGTGAGTTCTGGACTGGACCAACATGTCACATGCAGTGCAGCCTGACTGGTTCCATGCACTGCATGTGGTGTGAGGGGCTGGTCTGTGTGCACTGCACAGTGGGCCAGGACAGGGTGCCTGCTGCATGTAGTGCCCACAGCAGACTGGCCCTGTGCACTGGATCCAGTGTATGAGACTGGTCTGCAGTACAACCCAGCCTACACACCAGCCCCACACCACTTATCTAGCTTGTGGGGTCTAATGAGTTTGATACCCTTGCCCTGCAGGGATTTGACAAGAGGAAATTTGATCCTGGGCTTAAAAACAGGAGATTGGGAGTTAGGACACAAGGGGCGTGTCCAGTCATGCATGGACATTTGGTTCCCTGGGGACAAGTAGCAGTGGCGTACCTTGTGCCACTGTTGCTTGTCTCTGGGGAACGCCCGTGCCACTCATGCTTTGGCGCATGGCAAGTTGCCCCGGGTGGGGTAGGGGAGGCTGGGGCCAGCACTGTGCTGGCCCCAGCAGCCTTACCTGGGGTCTTGGGGGCCTCTCAGGGCTGCAGCCATGGTGATTCTGCCTCACAGAGCCTGACTGGCAATGGAGCACAGCTCTGGGTGGCTCAGCAGTGTTTTTCAGTAGCGTGCACTGGCCCAGCATGCATTGCTCCTTTTTTTTTTCCCTGCAGTTTTTTTGACCCCTGGATATCCACAGAGAAAAAACCCGGTGCAGCACACACTTAGGCAGCACGGAGAACACTGGACTGTACAGTATTTGGTATTTGGTGCTGCAAATGCGTTTGCGGCACCTCATACCTCATGACCGTGTTCGTCTGGACACGCCTAAGGGTTCTCTTTTTGGTTCTTGCACTGACTGTACTGCACACTGCTTCACTTTGCCTTCCCATAAAAGGGCTGTATACCTGTTCTCAGAGCACCATGAGCTGTATTGAAAGTTGCATTAAGGTCCTTAGGTGGAAAGCTCTATACATTGGCATGCTATTCATAAATGACATTATACCTCCCATTATACACTATATCAATAGAAGTATCCTTTAAAGCATGTCTAAAATTCAGGTGGTATGACTTTTTGTGTTGGGGAACTCTGAAAATTAGCCATTTTAGTGCAGTTTGGATCTTGTGAAACAGCACATTTAAAAAATGAATGTGTTTTTGTGGCTATCTAAAAGCTGAACATCAACCAAAAATGCTCTGTATCTGTGTGTTTGCTTTTTCGTGTGCAGAGCATTTCGTCCATGAAACTGATGCAGTTTCAGGGCAGTGGAAAGAAATCTACCCCTATTTCTCTGCCACCTGTGAAACACTATGATCTGACTCCTAGTCCTGATGTGCCTCTTGCAATCATGAAACGGAAACTGATGGCTACTAATGACATGTATGAGGCTAAGAAGATTGCAGAGGAAATGAAAACACACCTAGAGGTAAAATTAAAATTCTGATTGTTCCTAAGACCATTTTAAATTCTGTCATAGGACCGTAAATCAGGAGTTGCTCCAATCATATCGTTGGGCCCAGATTATAACAGAATGCAGCTCTGATCAGTAAGCATTATCTGAGTTTTTCTCCATTATCACTTAAAATTCTGTGACCAACACACAAGGCACTATGGTGGTAACCTCCCAAGTGGGAATATAAATGTCTGAACACAAAAATTAACCTGATAGGTTTTGTTGCCAAGAAATGTCTTTGTCCATCTCCAGCCATTTTACAAAGGGAAACTATACTTCAGATTCATTATCTACTTTAGTGCTACTGAGTTATCAGTGCAAGTGTTGAAGGTCAGAGACATTCTTCCTGAGGGATACTGTAGAAGACTAGCCACTGTTATTTATTTCTTTTTTTGCAAGGAGACCTAATAGGTGGGTTTACTTGGAAGCTGACAGTCTGTAACCTTCCCCATCCCCAATTTTCTTTTAATATTTTCTTAAGATTATAAAGAGTCTGTTTTTTGCACAGGCTAAAGAGCTTATTCGGGAATCCATGAGAAAGATCATCTACCTCATCACAGCATCAAATGAGCTTACTAACCAGATTCTGTCAGAGAGGCTGACCCTCAGCAACCATGATTGTTACCAGGCAGCAGTGGACCGCTTCAAAGCCCAGTGTTTCAACTGGCATATTCCGAAGGTTAGCTATAACCCAGTAAAGCTTGCCACCTAGGTAAACATACTGTTCTTGAATGGTTTTGCAAAACTACATTTTTTATCCACAAGCAAACTGGAGCCTTGAACACCTCTGGAGCTAATCTTTTATGAAAACGTTACTCACAGTGTTAAAAGCATGAGGAAAGACCCTGCAACGAGTCATCTACAAGTAACAAGAACATCAGACACATCAACATGATGAATATTTACTAGCTTTTATTTACATCTCCTACTCTTCACTAGTAACAGGATATATTCAATACTGATTTTTGATCACCATGAAGCAGTTCATTGATATAGTTGATATAGTTTCATTCTTGTTGACTCCGTAGGAGTAATTTTTTAGGTTTAGTGCCTCTTCTATTAGGGTAACATCTAAATACTGCAGTGAAAGGTGAGCAATTCCTTGTGCTAGGCATTGGAGACAAATTCCAGAGAAATGAGTCCCTCTCCCAATTAGACAATCTTTGTCTTTCTTTGGGAAACAGTGCTTTCTAACTGAAGCAATGGGAGAGGGACTCATTGCTCATAATCTGAGGGTTAGAAAAGATACAATAAAACAAACAAGCAGACTAGCTGGGAAGATGAGGCAATGGTAGAATACCTAGAGGCTGCTTCTACATGAGATGCTACTGTGCAGTGGTTACTAAACATTTATTTAGTACTTGTATAAATAAGTTTATTCAAGCTTATATAAGTACTAAATAAATGTGCAGTAACCTGAGTTACTGCACAGTTGTGCCAGCGAATACCGTTTTTGTGATGCTGCTACACAGTACCCTACTACTACTGTCCAGTAGCATTGCATCACAGTTTTTGCCACATGATGCTACTGCGCAGTCAGCGTCTCATGTAGATGTGCCCAGAGTTTATTTAGCAGAAAAGCAGAATTCATGGGTTACCACTTGCCTAACTTATTCAGTATTGATAGCCTGCATTTCTTTTGAATAAAAAGCAGGCAGATCACCTGCCCCAAGGAGCTTACATTCATTCTAGAGGAACATCCCAGCTGCTGCAGAGGACATGTTGTTCTATATTAGAGTGTTGTTAGGATTATAAATCATAAGAGAAATTGCGATGAGATTTGGATTAAAGGAAGGATGGATGCCTGACACTCAGGGATGCCCTGACATCTCATGGAAAAGAACTTTTAAAGAATGAAAGAAGGGCAAGTTTGACTGGGTATTAGAATATTCCACCCAGGAACCTTTGGGTGTTAATGTTATCCACAGAGATCTTTAATTTATATCTTAAATGGTGCTGCTATTTAATTTTGAAATGCTTATTACTGTTTATTTAATTTCAGTTTGAGTATGCGTTGAGACAGCTGTATGCCTTGGTCAATGTATGTGAAGGAGGATATCCCATCGACAGGTAATAAAGCTTGTCATGTACTGTGCATGGTCTCATTTATCGTTTGAAAAGCAGAAGTTGTTAGTAGGAAGTAATATAGTTACTAGCTGCATATTTTTGCTGGTCTGCCAGTAAAGGATTTTATAAATATAATTCCTCATCTACAAGTAGTACAGCTGTTTCTGAAAAGGTGCTTCAAACAAAACCAGTCATAATTTATATGATCAATTCCAATACCCTGTGAGCATTTGGCACCAGTTTTCTTGTTTAAAATTATCAAATGGAATAAATCTAAAAGTGTACAGACAACAAAATGTTTATAATTGCTGTTTTCTCTGTTGCAGAATACAGCTGGCCATGGACCTAGCATGCCTTGGAAACTAATGAAAACAACATTCAAATTCATAATCCTTACTAAGAGCGATAGCTTTTTTGAAACTGTAATAATCAGGACTACAGATATGCATGTAAATGAAGAACAAGGTCAACCACTATAGCAGCTTTCAAACAACACGGTGGGAGCTGTATCAGACAGCAGTGATCAAGTTAAGCGCATGAAAGTGCTTTTTCCCCTTCACTCTCAGTCTCTGTCTGATAGAATGGTTGATTGACATGAGGCATTTTAGAGGGTTCAGTGCTACAGGCGGGTGTTTTAAATGGACAGAATTTGTTCAAAGTCCAATGCAAATTAAGAGTTCCTGCATGAACACTATAAGCAATCTCTATTGGCAACCCTAACTTTGTTAGCTTAAAAAAATGACTTTAACTCATTGTTTTGCCTTTGAAACTTTTGATATTACTAAGTACTATTACTAAGTAGCTTTTAAACAGTGGGTATTATTATTGATTAACTTAAGTTTACAATTGGCTATTTGCAAATTGGTTGAAGACTGAAGAAACCAACGTTTGTACTTACAACTGTAAATCATTAACAATTTAAAGAAATCAGCAGCACTTGAGAACTATCACATTTGTTGAACTGCAGATGACAAAGGGCTTCAGGGTCAGATAGCACTGTTTCCCAAAGAAAAACAGATTGTCTAATGCTGTAACTTTTAGTACCAGTATCTTGTAAGAAAGCCTGTATGCACATAAATTGCAAAAGATTGAAGAACACTGGAATTATCTGGGAATAAACAGAACTGAATGTTTCATCAACTTCAAACAATACGGTGTTCCACAACTTATCTTTTGAAGCAAATTTTTTGTTAAGTACAGCTTTTCTATGACTGCATCTGATGGATCCCTAAATTCCAGATGCATATGCTACTTACATGATTAAGATGCAGCCATCCTTATCTCCAAATGCATCCCAAACACATTATTGAAGGAGTCAACAGATCACAAGTAACAAGGCACATGTTAAAATTTGTGGTGTTTTATAGTAGATTTAAAATCTCCATACCTTAGAACAAAAACCTTCCTTAGTTCTTTATTTTCAGAATTTTTTTTTTTCTGAAGGAAGGTATGGATTAGATTTCAATGCTATTTTCACTCTTCTAGGAAGGGAATGAGCCTGAAGGAAAGTGGGCCATTGTCTGGAGTGTGGTTAGGAACTCTGGGTAACGCCACCCAAAGGCAACAGTTGCTTGCAAAAATATTTATATAGGGAGGAGTTCATGGCAGGCTGGAGAGAGAGTTTCATTGTCAGCTTGTTGCTGCTCCATGAAGGCAGAGTATAAAAGGCAAGTGTCAAATCACACTGTAGGTTTCAGAATGGACATGATAGGATAAAGTGTTTGGTTATTATTTATCATTATTATTGTTATTGTTAATAATAATCAACCTAGGCCTAAATGATACAAGCTTTCCCCCTTGGGCTGCCTGAAGTTCCGGTTAGATATTTTGTAGCTGGTTATTTCTTTAGAGCAAACTTTTTCTAGTGGATAAAGGTCTAGAAATAAGAACACTGGACACCCACAATGAAATGCAAAGATAATCATGATGTTTGACTTCATACAGTGAGATGGGGAAGAAGGGACATACAGACCACACTGTATAAGGCTCCAAGCCTGCAAGTTTTTACATACCCAGGGACCTGGATGTGTCCATGGAGCCTTGCTAAAGGTATAGGTGTTCATCTGTGACATAGAGATAGCACAAGCAATATAGTAGTGGAATATTGAAGCCAACAGCCTAATTCCATTTAAAACAACAATTAACATTAGAAAACTCCTTCAAAGATCTGTTTAAATGCATACATCTAGCTAACTAACCTGTGGGTGCAACACTTACGGTGCATCTACACGAAACACGTTAATGTGCATTACGGGCATGTGTCTACATGTGTGTGCCCTTAATGTGCATTTAAAATGGCAAAATTCGGGTAATCGCACCTAAATTTGACATGTGCAAATGCAGGCATCAAATTTAGGTGGAGTTTGTTAAAGCACATTAATGCATGTATAGATGTGACCTGGCACTAACTTCAGTGCCGGGTCTTCCCAGTCACTAGCGGCATGTGGTAGGGCTGCAGGGACTTGGCATTAACTTTAATGCCAAGTGCACTAACTTTAGTGCCCAGTCCCTGCACACGTAGACACCTGCCAATAATCGCTTAATGCACCTTAAATTTAGTAGCGTTTAAATGCATGTGTAGACGCACCCTTACAGTCCTCCCCAAAGGCAATATATTTTCTGGCCTCCAAGAGCCCATGAGCTCAGGGCTTTAGTTGTTTCTTTTTCAGTGTTTCCCTTTTGTGAAAATACATTTCCTTTAATGTAAAGCCTGTACATTTAGGGCTTAATTTAAGAGTACAACTCTCTGTAGTCCCCATGTAACAATAGAGCAACTTTCATCTGAGCTCTCTGAATTTGGAAACAAAGATACAGAAATTAGATCACCTGCCAGGATCCTGGCTCCCAATCTCATTTCCACAGCTATTGTTTATCTACCTTGGATATTTGCCTAGGCCGGGGCTGGGCTCAGAGTGTGTGGGAGTCAGGCGGGCTCAGCTACAAGCCCTGCTGCAAGCAGCCTGGACTCTGTGGTTGGCAGCAACTACCAGAGCCTGGGCCGGCTGCAGCCGGGAGGATGCAAACAGCTGCTCTGGGCTCTGGCATCAGCTCCATACCGGCAGGTGCACGTGTGCCTCAGAGCAGATGGTGGGGATGGGTCCTGAGGCAGCACAGCCCTCCCGCTGTCTGCTCTGAGGTGCATGTGCAGTCGCCACCAGCACGAAGCTGATGCCAGGGCTGTGGAGCCTGGCGCAGCTGTTTGCAGCTTGCCCACTGTCTGCTGCAGCTGCCCAGAGCCCAGGCTGGCTACAAACAGCTGTGCTGGGCTCCAGAGCCCAGTCATCAGCTCTGTGCCGGCAGTGGGGAAGAGGCTGGGGTTGCAGTGCCTCAGGCCGCTCCCCCACCATCCGCTCCGAGGTGTGTGTGGACCTGCCAGTATGGAGCTTATGCTGGAGCCCAGACCAGATGTTTGCAGCATCCTGGCAATCGGCCCAGGCTCTGGGTAGCAGCTGCCCAGCCGCCTGCTGGGAGTAGCCCAGGCTTCATGGCTGGCAGCAGCTGCCTAGAGCCCAGACTGGTGGTGGCACGCCGAGCAAAATGGCCTCGCGTGCCATGCTCGGCACACATTCTGGGGGTTGCTGACTGCTGGGCTAGATGATCTCTTGAGGTCCCTTCCAGCCTTACTTCTCTATGATAGGTATGATAACTAAGTTGCCAAACTGCCTTAACTTGTTCAAATTTTTTAAGCTTTATTCCTTGTGTAGAACACTACTGTATCTAGCTAAACTCAAGCAAAGTGGCCTTTCACACCTTAAACCCAGGTTGGTTCCTCTAGTTCCTCTTCATTCATTACTAGGAAATCTCTAGTAAAACTTGCTGAGCATGGTGACAGAGAGGGTAAGACATCCTGGGCATGTCTACACAAGATTCTAAATGTGTAGTAGACTAATTCTACTGCATATCACAGCAAAAGCTGTGCTAATGCACAGTAGAATTAGCCTACTGCGCATTAGTGTCATTAGAAGACTGTGCACTGGCACTACTGCATAGCAGTACTGGTTACTGCGCATTGAGTTAGTACCTGTTATTAAAGGTACTAAATTTAATGTGCACTAGCAATGGCACATTAATACACATGTAGGCGCGCCCCTTGCTATGCAGTGAGGGAGATGCATGCAAGGCTTGTTCCGGACTCATGCTAATGCCTACCCTTTATCAGCTCAGCAGTAAACTGGCCCCTGTGGAATCAAAGGCAGCCAGGCATGCTGCTAGCCACATCACTCCCTGGTGCATGGTTGCCTATAGTAACTTGTGTGCCTAAACCTCCAGTGGACTGTTTGTTTCAAATGGATCTCTGACTTCTTTGTTAGCAAAGTTGGAGGCAGATGTATCGCAGCTGTGGTCTGAACAACTCCAGTGTCCAGGCATCCACCTTTGTTAAGAACATGGACACAATGGCAACTTCTGGCTATAAAAAATCTATGAGTAATGCAGGAGACTCCTGAGGACCATCTTTTGGCACATTCTTAACAAACTATTTGCATCTTCACAGATACCTCTTTGTGCAGCACTCTTGCAACTGCCTTCATTCTCTAATAATAAAAAAGCAAAAAAAAAAAAAAAAAAAGGTCACCTGGGCACTGATGCATTGTTCCACTGTTCAATGCCATCTGTTGTGAGCTTGGTTCAAACCTAGATAGGCTAATGTGTACTGTTCCACCCATTAGGCATGAACAGCTTCCAAATTAGTGCATCTACTTGGGCATATTAATACAGTGCACTAAACTGGCAGTAAGCATGCCAGAGTTTATTACTCCTGAGTGCTGCGTTTACATGTGTGCCTGGGACCACAGCACATTGAGCTGTGTCAAAGCAGCCCTGACTGGAGCTGCTCTGCCCCAAATCAGTGTGCTACAGAAGGGCTGGCTGGGGCATGAGGATGCTCCAGTGTGGGGCTAGCCAGCAGGCAGCCCCCACATTGAAGCACCCTCATGCTGTAGCCAGCCACATCAGTATCTACACATGCATTGTTGCACACAAAAAAACTCCACGGCAGGATAATACTTGTATTTACAGGTACTACCCCGCTGCAGAGTTTGTTAGTTTACTCCAGCCTAATAGCTCTGCACCTGTAGACACAGACATTTACTGCAAAGCTAATTAGCTTACCTTGAAGTAAACATCTCTTGTAGATGTGCCCAAGATCTCTGTACATAATCCCATTTAAATCAGAAGACTTGCAGACCACACTTCTGTCTCTGCCCCTGGCCTGAGTGGGATTGGGCAGTGAGAGGAAAAGAATGACAAAAGTCTTTGCTTTGTATACCCCAATTAGGGCCAGGCAAAGTTTCATCCTTTGTTTTAGATGGAGTTCACAGATTTTTTTGCCTCCCTATCATCAAGGACACCTCATGTCCCAAGGAGGCAGGAATCAGATATCTGTCACCCCAATACACTGGGCAGCGAAGCTGTTTGGTTTCAAAAGGTGCATCTACACGAGATGCTTTACTGTGCTTTAGACTAATCTAGCATGCAGTAAAGTGCCACCATCCCCACGTGTGCAGCACTTATCGCACATTACATTAGCCTAGTGTGCCATTTGCTAGTACCATCACATGCAGGTACTAGATAAATGGTGCATTAACTAATGCACAGTAGCACACATGTAGATGCAGATGTTGGGCACAAACTGCACTCGGTCAGCCACACCAGCAGGGAGCCAGCTCTCTGCTTGGGGCACAGCCATGTGGCTAGCTGTTTCTCCAGACCTGTGGCATGGATAGCTTGTTGGCTGTCCCAAGCTGGACTCCAGACCCTGGAACCCATGTCAGCTGCTGCTTGCCCCAGGCATCATGTCTTACCAGTGTGGACACAGGTCAGCCAAAGCAGCCCTGCAGACCCTGGCTCTGCCCCCCAGAGCGTGCGCCAGCAGCTGCCTGGTCCGTGGGCTCTGTGCACCTCCAGTGTGGGCACGTTCTGGCTGCCGAAGCCCCGTCTCTGCCCCCCTAGGATTCCACATGGGCACAGTCTGCCTCCCAGGCACCATGGCCCACCTCAGCGGGCATGTGTTAGATGACACTGGCACCTGCAATCCCAGCCTGATCCCCCCCCGATGCCCCTGGCAGCAGCTGCCATGGCAGCCTCCCCAATACCAGAGACAGCGCCCTGGGGCCCAAACAGGATGAAGCAGGACCTCATGATGTGGGGTGA